CAAAAAGAAAAAAGCCGGAAGTGGCGCTGTGGCTCAAGTGGTAGAGTGCTAGCCTTGAGCTGAAGAGCTGAGGGACAGTGCCCAGGCCCAGAGTTCAGGCTTCACGACCGGACCAAAAACAAAAAAAAAACTAAATAGTCCCACAGAATTATGTCTCTCATATACATATGTAAATTTACATATTTATGTTTTAAGTTATATTGTATATTTGCTTATATAATACATATATGTACGTATATATGGCTTTTTGAGATTGCCTTATCTCACTTAACATGATCTTCAGTTTTATTCACTTTCTTATAAAAATGACATGATTTCATGTATTTTTTTGTAGCTGTTTAGTATTTTATGGTATATATGTGGGATATTTCATTCATCTGTTGTTGGGCATTTCAGCTATTTCCACTGTTTGGCTTTTGTATACACAGCTGTCATAAACATAGCTATGCAATGCAATATCTCAAACATTGAATTATGCTTCTCATACACACACACACACACACACACACACACACACACACATATCCAATATGGTAGGACATAAGGTAGATTACTTTCCTTACAGGACTGTAGACTACAAGACAAGGTTAACATTCAATTCATCTTCGTAATAGATGCTCATTACTTACTGACTTATACTCCAATAGCCAAATCAAAATTGGCAAAAACAAAAAAGTTTAAATTAGCTATATGACTTGAAACATTGTAAATCTACAGAATAAGTAGATGTGACCAGTGTTCCACAACTGAACAATGAATCCAAAACCTAGTAGAAATACAAGTTTATTTAAAAATTCACACATTATAAAAATGTTTAAAGTAAAAAGAAGAATCCAATATTTCCTTGCTGTAGTTTGTATTTGTCCCCAAAAGTTCATATGTTGGAAATGTGGTCCTCATTGCAGTAGTGTTGAGAAGTGGACACCAGAGAGATGACTGGCTCTGCCTCACAGGCTTTTACAGACCCAAACTCTCTGAGACACGCATATTGTGTTGTCACATGATATCTACCCACGTTAAGATGCAGGAAGGTTCTCAAAGTTGCCAGCAGCATGCTATTAAGGCTTCTCAGCCACCAGAAATAAGGGCTAAATAAATCTCTATTCGTTACCCAGTGTGTGCTATGTAGTTATGGCATCATAAAAGGAAGAAATGTGCAATACGAGTTAAGCTACTACCCATCATAATTTTTTTGTGTGTTTGTTATGAAAAATGTCCACTGTTGTTTCACGACATGGCCTTAAATCAAAATCACAATATCCAAGGGAAAAACAGCCCTAGGAAGAAAATAAGAGTACTGTTAAAAATGACATGACTAAGAAGGAAGGGGTGACATTGGCCAAGAAGCATTATACTCATAACCTGACATGGAATCGTAACCCCTTTGTTCAACTACTTAATAATAATAAAAATGGCATGACTAAGCTGGGGTTTGGGGCTGTGTCTGTAGTTCCAGAGACTTGGGAAACTGAGGTAAATGATTATTTAAGCCCAGGAGTTCATTTAAAAACAAAACATCAAAACAAATACAGTCTTACGTGTTACACACTTACCCATAAAATTATCTTACCTGTGGTTTCTTAAAGTAATCAAGTCCCCTTCCAATTTTAATCTGCCATCCATTGTTGAACCTATTGACATTAGAATACAGGAAGTTTAAATCAGACTATTATTAAGCATCAGAAAAATTTCCCTTTAAGAAAGGAACCCATTGGAAGTGGCCCTGGGGCTCAAGTGGTGGAGTGCTAGTTTTAATCTGAAGAGCTGAAGGACAGCACCTAGGCCCAGAGTTTAAGCCCCACGACCGACCCCCCCCCTCCAAAAAAAAAAAAAAGAATTAGGAAAGAGAGGAACCCACTTCTGCTGGTAGCAAGAAGACTTGAATCAAACCTGTAGTTAATAGTGGGCTGCTTGTCTACAATGAAACAAAAAGGTCTTAGAAACTATCAGCTGACTTTGATGAGTTGTGTAACAATTAAAACTTACACATAAACTTCAGCTTGTTGATATAAATTTCCTGCTTACAAGTAGTTGACAAAGTATATTCAGGGAGACTGGTAGTGTTCTAAGGGTTCTCCTGCCCAGAGAGAGGAAGTATAAGCAGGAGGAGTTTTGGACCCTGACTTTTGCTTTAACAACAGCAGCTACATTTTCATCTGTTTTGAATATTTAGATCTGGTTTAAGTTTTCACTTAACATGACGATTCCATTGCTATAATCATATTAAAACCATTGTGCTAGAGGGAAAGTATTATTAATTGTACATACTGTTTTCTTATTAACACATTACTATCATGCCTACCCAAATAATTTCTTAACCAACAGGAAATAAAACCACACAGTATTAATTTCACTAGAAGGAATTATTTCGTATCACAACTGTGTATAATAGAGATAAAAGTGCTCCTCTTCCTACATGACACAACATATAAATTCAATTCCACTAGGAAATAATAAGCACACAGGGCAAATTAAGTTTCTGCTTAAAAAGTTGCTAATATTGGCCTTTAATTGAATTTTTAATCTTTAAATATAATATTTATATATAATTAAGTAACATGAAGAGAGCAGTTTAAAGTATGTTTCAACTGCATAAAAGTTAAAATATTATTGTATACTAACCTAATTTCTCGGTCATGTATTGAAGAAGAATATTCTACTTCCAACAGCACTCCATGACTTCTGAGTGACAGTTTTATTTCATTCAGGGCACTTAGCTGCTCTGTCCTATTTCCCTGTCAATGGCAAAAACATAATTTACTGCTTCATTTATTTTATTTATTTATTTTTGCCAGTCTTGAAGCTTGAACTCAGGGCCTGGGTACTGTCCCTGAGCTTTTTTGTTCAAGTCTAGCACTTTTATCACTTGAGCCACAGCGCCACTTGTGGCTTTTTCTGTTTATGTGGTACTAAGGAATTGAACCCAGGGCTTCATGCATGCTAAGAAAGCACTCTACTACTAAGCCACATTCCCAGCCTCATTTATTAATATTTCACATTATTAGCTGGGCACAGCAGCCCACACCTACTGATGGAGAGGCTGAGATTGGGAGGATTACAGTTTAAAGCCAGCCAAAGGGGAGTAAAAAGTTTGTGAGAATGGCCAGGTGCCAGTGGCTCACACCTGTAATCCTAGCTACTCAGGAGGCTGAGATCTGAGGATCACGGTTCAAAGCCAGCCTGGGCAGGAAAGTCCATGAGACTTTTAT